CACCAAAGATCAGCCCCGTCCCTCTGCCACGCGTAGTAGAGCGCGCTCCCATATACAAGCCAGGTCAAATATTTACATTAGGACATCTTGAGTTGTGAACGGCCCATTTTTCTCTGGCCGCACACGTTTCCCCATGACTGCAGTTTGGACGGCTTAATTAGCAGGTGAAAGTACTTAAAGTTCGGGTGCGAGCCGCGTTTGACAGTCAACACAGAGCATCTCTGTCACATTCCTGCGAGGGTCACTGAGTCCCGTTTTAATCCTCCCTGTAATTGGGCTGCGAGTCTGACATCTCACATCTGATCCAGCCCGTGTGTGTGTGTGTGTGACACTCCATCACGCCTGTGTGCTCATGATGTGTGTGTGTGTGTGTGTAGAGTAAAGCACACACATGTTCCTCACTCCACCATGCCGCATTCATCACAATCATTATCTTTCAGCCTGTGTTTATTGGCATCACCCAGTCACTGGAGAGTAAACGATGGCGTCGCTTTCTGTATAATTTAATGTGTTTAGAAGTGCAAAAAATATCATTCATCAGTGTGCAGTGAACATATTTCTGCAATGAATGAATGCATAACTCTTCTGGGGGACATTCAAAGTGCAATCATTTAAAAACTTTATATATATACATTAAAAATGTCATTTAAAAAATGCACCAAAGTCAAATTCAGCTGTTGCTAGAAGGGATACGGCTGCAGCCGGAGGTTAATGAGAATTCATTACACTATTCATTAAATTATCCATTAATTGTATTTTATTCAAATATTCCCCTCATGATGTTTCTGAAATCCAGCAGTTGTTCTCAGTGTTTCCTCTAATATCTGTTCTTCTGGAGAAAGTCTGATTAGTTTTATTTGGGCTAGAATAAAGCAGTGTTTAATAGTGTTAAAGTCATGTTAAGCTCAATATTATTCGCCCCTTCAGCAATATTAGTGTTGGATTGTCTCCAGAACAAACCACTGTTATACAATGACTTGCCTAATTACCCTAACTTTACCCTCATTACCCTAGTGAAGCCTTTACATGTCACTGTAAGCTGAACACTAGTGTCTTGAAGAAGATCTAGTCTAATATTCTGTGCTGTCATCATGATGAAGAGGAAACACATCAGCTATTAGAGATGAGTTATGAACACTGTTATGATCAGAGATGTGCTGTAATCTGCTCTCCGCTACACAGAAATTAGGGAATTAAATATAAAAGAATTGCAGTATGACCTTTGACCTCTATTGTATATGTGAAACCCAAATATGAAGTTGTATGTGATATTTGTCATTTGCATAGAGTATTAGCATATATCAGATTTGCATGTGTGTTTCTTCTCTTTAATCTCATCATTAGTCTTGTACGGCACTTTGGGACACACACGTGTTCTTGAATGTGCTTTAGCAATAAATTGACTTGACCTGCCTTGAATGGTGTGCTTTATAAAGAATGTAATAAAATGATGTGATAATTCGCGACTGTTCTGAGCAGAAATGGACCGGTGTGTGTGTGTGTGTGTGTGTGTGTGTGTATGTGTGTGTGTTTGGCTCACAGACGCTGCAGCCGAGGGCTGACTGGAGCCGAAGCCGGAGATGAGGACCAGAGAATGAACACACACACACACACACACACACACACACACATGCACATGGGTCACAAAAACATCACACACTGATAACACTGGATAGGGGCCGACAGACGGCGCGTTCAGAACACTGGCTCCTCGATTTAAAATGCTATTTACATTGGGAAATAAACCTTACTATTTAAAAAAACGCAAAAAGAGTGAAGAGAAAGCGAGTTAATTAACAGTATAATAAATAACTCAGTCTGCTTTACAGCATGTGTCCACAGGAGGCGCTGTCAGCTTCTCTCTCTTTCTGGCTGCACACAACAGTACAGCATGTGTCTGTGGAGATTCAGAGCAA